TGACGCTCTTCTGCACCTGTCCAATCGCGGCCACATCAAGCCCACAGTCATGCCGGCAACCTGACCGATGCAGTGGCAGTATCGTTGTAGCACTTTGCTCGATGTTGGCTGCTGTCCATAATTGTGTTTTAAAACTCATACATCAGATATTTGGATGTTTAAAGCACCGAGGTTTCGCGCACGAGGCGAAAAACTGAGTTGCGTAGATGTCTCCGCCTAGTGTCTGCTTTTGAATGCTGCCCTTTTTGACGCTGCGTAATATCGAAAATATCAACATAAAACAAGCTCGGATATCGGCCACCCCCTGTAAACAGCTTCCTGTGACGTCGTGTTGGTATTACCATCTTGTTTGTGGTATTATGTGTGTCGGTATTTTATACCAATATTAACAAAGTTGCTGAAAACTCTGTCTTCTGCCATAGTATTTTTGATGATGGACGAATTTTTTGTTGCAAACTGTGGCCATGACTTGTACCATTCGAGTGAGTAAAATATAGTTAAAAGGGAACACCCTGATGTTGCCTGGCCGATTCAGAATGCCGGAAGCGGGAACTGGCCCAGCAAATCTACTCTGCGAATAAGCTCTCAAAAGTTTCAGGTCTACCTTCTCACAATATGATTGTAGGTGCTCGTAGCTATATGCTATCGGAAAGTGCACTAGAAATAATATCGACTAAATATGCTTCAATTTACTCCTCGCAATGTTCGTTGGTAGCGCAGTGATGCTTTCTTGCTGTGCCGGCGCAGATTTGGCAGCATCACTTTGCCTCGTACGAACTCAACATGTTACTGCGCTCAGAGCGACCTTGTGAATACATTCTCTTAGCGGCCAAGCAAATTTTGGCGTATCGAGGTTTACCCTAAGGACCCGCTCAGTGTGCGACTAATGCGCTGAGCGCAGTAACACTACTGCCCCCCTACGCAAAGTATGTCAAATGGTGTGTGCAAAGTATAATAAGATAAGAGGAGCTAAATCGTGAGTCTACCGGCGTCCCAGAACGAACTCAGAGAGGGATTAACGAAGATCATTTTCTGAAATCTGATTGTTGACCAACTTTTTCTTAGTGAAAGGGCAGCTTAAAAATTTCCAACGTTGTTAGTATATGTTATATTTAGGTAATGCCGTTTTGGAACTAGCTTCAACACGTTACGCTACTGAGATCAGATTTCAGCTCGTCTTCGTTGTCCCGATACAATATTGGTGGCCATGAGCATGCGGCCAGCTCGAATACGCACAAACTGATGTCTCACCATCTGTGGGATATGCTGCGGCACTGGCGGCAGCCTTAGCCATCGCTTGCGCCACTGCAGACAAACCATTGGCAATGAGTACCCAAACCAAGCCAAACAAGAACACCCAACGAGTTGAACCCAAAATTATCCCCACCCATCAAAATTTGTTATCCTTTTACCGTTGCCTTTCCCTGTGAAATTATATTGTCTACGCCTCTTCCAGTCTGTAGTAGAGTGTGTCAATCCAAGTGGCAAACCTTTGTCCAACTAAACAAAATGTTTGGCACTGAGAACTTGCAAACTGTGCTACAGAAAGGTTAGCGAGCACTGGGTATACACAGTGCGACGGTTATCGTTCGTGATTTTGATCGGAATTAAGCTAGGGGGATGAGACTCATTACTCTTTACTCTTATGCCCCGGTATGGTAAAAGAGCACTAGCGCAGAGTGGAAGTAAGAAGAACCAAAGATTATGTGGATAGCCGTACGAGTTCTCCCCGGACTGGGGTGGGATAGTGGTATCCTCTCGGCAATTTTGCTCTTTCTACTCCCGATCGACGCTCCCTTGAAATGCCATTTTTGTATGGAGTGTAAAGCTTGAATGTCTCATTTAGTGGGTTAAATGAAGTAGGCTCTGCATGTAAAACATATTACAGTACTTTAAAAAGAGTGGCAAACCGGAGCGAACATGTTTCTGGACCATTTTGACGTTATTTACACTCCCACTTCCAGAACTTGGTATAAAAAGTTTACCCTACCGGCGGATGACTACGAATACTTAAGACTGGTTAGGGTTATGCTCAGAGCACCAGAACACGACGTGCGGTTATGTAAAAGAACATTTTCGTTGCGTGTCCTCAGCATCAAATTTGGTTATGGCTGCAAAGCAAGGGTATCAAAACAAAATACAGCGGGAGCGCGAGGCAAATGGGTAGGATCTGGTCTGTCTCCGGCCACACCTTTGTTGTGCACGGTAAGTCATGTTATTCACCCCAAAAAACAAGTGCAGCAACACAAGGCTTGCCTATATTCGCCAAAGACGAGGACCAGTTTAAGACGCATTAACAAGTTATTAAAAAAAAGTTCCATTGTGCACTGTATATTGAGTGCCATTCTTTTCGCATCTTAAACTGAATCCTCATCTCAGCCGAAATGAGAGATTTGGCGTGAAGGTTTTGGTAAAAGATTGGGTGGTTGGAGGGATAGACAGGAGTAGATAAAAGGACAGACAAGAATATAGAAGTAGTTTAGACGATTAGATTCTGTTCGACGGAGACGAAGAATGATGTAGACGGAGACAAACGTCAGATAGAAACAAAGATAAGGACAGCCAAAGATGTACCATAGACTAGTCAAGGCAGATACTGTGCAGGAGCAACAATAGAATAAGAAAGAACAAGACAGAAAGGAAGAAATAAAAAGGCAAGAAAAGGCAGGATAAAGGACCAGGCACAAAGGATATAATTAGGCTTTGCGCATTCAACATCCTTATTACCCTCTGGGTGAAAGTGCTCAGTTTTCACCATTCCTGACTGCATCATCATCATCCCAACATCTGAAAAAGAGATAGGAAACACGCAGTTTCCGGAAAACATACTAAAAACCATAAACTAAAAAAGTAAAACACGAAATGAAACCATAATTTAAAATTAAACAAAGAAAACAGGTGAATCACAAAGACATACGTCGTATAATTCAACGACAAACACGCATTTTCACGCCCGTTCTATTTGTTATATTAAAGTGGTCCCCATATGAACTTCCATGTAGATTTCTTAAAGGAAAGGGAACAGTTCTGAACTTATTTTGGAAGACACGTAATTGTCTCCCGAAAAAAACTATGTCTGTCTATATTAGTTCTTGAAATTGAGGTGTGGGTTGCCATAGTTTAATTTAAATAACTGTTAATTTGTCAGTAACGATACTTTCTTTCTACCCGGATAAGTTTGAATTACCGAAAAGCCTCAAGCTATAAGCAGGATAAGACGTAAAAAAGGTGGCGCGTCATTCCCTTTCCACTCCCCAAGTCGGATTGTCTCTCTTCTTAGACTCGGCCACATCGAGATTAGTCTTGTTAATCATCAAAGCATCACCCGTCTAGCACCTTTGGTTAAGTAGACGTTTACTCCACGCGTCAAACACTGAATACTGTTTGGCGTCCAAACATACCAAATTTTGGCGTCCAGAAGAGGCCGCCAGGATTGTGTCGTCTAAAGACGCTAACCAGTTTTCAGTGAAGAGTCTTAACTTGGGGTAAGTGTGCGCCTCCCACTTGATGTAGCGCTTTTCAGGCGCGGTATAAGGTTGGTTTCGCGATCGATCGTCGACTGCTACATACAAGGGTTTCATAGCACAAATTGTCTACCTTTAAGGCGGCCCAATAGAGACGATAGGTAGTCAGGCTCACTCTCCCATCTTATACCGCGCCTGTTGCTTTCTTTAACGTTAAGGGTGTGTAGCGTCTGTTCCCACACATGCCGGAAGGCCCTGATTAATACTCGCACCACTATAAACAATATGTGAACGTTGCCAAGGCTCACGCTGGAAACCCAAGAGCGCGTGTGTGTGTCACACTTGTGGGTGTGCGAATTCCAATACATACACTTTTATACTCGTCAAGGTGTGAATTTTATTGAAATTCAGCCAACCTGCACCTACTAGTGTAAGAAAAGAAATTCACTTGCCTGCAAGTTTGCGACATTTGTTCATATTGGGTTCCCTGTGTAGAAAGTGCCGTGACAGAGCGGGCAACGTTACACATAAATAGGCCCCACATTCCCGCCTTGGCGAATATTCCCTCAGTGTAATAAAGTAGTACTCACAGTTTTTGCACTTGCACTTCTTGATAAGAGTCTCGTCCCTTATGCTCTCGTGGCAGGCTTTGCAGTAGAACCAGACCCTGCGGCATTTTATTTTAAAAAATTTAAAGACGTAAATGAAACAACTTGAATAGTTCTTAGGTGCCTCTAAAGGACCTACCGTTTTACTTCGTCGGCTGATTGGGCAATGAAGAATCCTTGTGTATTCGCTGCTATTTTTGCGCCTCTAGGGTTAATTGATATCTTGCTGTCGTTGCCGTCTTCTCCTTTCAGCTCAATTGCGAGAAGTAGCAATTTGAGCTTTGTAAAGCACAGTCTGCGAATATAAATGTAAATAATTTCTGCTCTCCGATACAACTTATGTACTTGAAGCTCTTGACTTTTTATTGGAAAAACATGCATTACTAAACACGGCAAGATGTGTACTCATTTTTAGAAAAATGTTTCAAAAGAAACGCATTTAAATGCCTCTTTTTCGATTATCTATCCTAAAAATAATAGCGTTGCTTTATACACAAACCAAACCATGTGGCTCTTTCTATTTTTTTTACCCGTTACAGAAATCACGTGATTGTTTCCGCGAGCCAAGCGGACAACCAAAGTAAGCCATGCATCCAGACCGAAAGCGATCGTAATAAGTATCTTTCACAGCTTATTTAAAAAAGTAAAACTATAGGCCTTTCTTAAGTTAAAAGCTTATGAAATACTTTTGTGAAGCAGGCATGCCAGGTTTGGTGCACGAAATATGTGCGAACAAAATATAGATATAAGGTGAAATGTGTGAGTGCAGTAGAGGTGCCGGCTGGCGGATCGCTCAGCTCGGAGCGGTACCCAGCTCCGCAGACTGCAGCGACCATCCCTCGGCATTTTCCATGGCAGTGCCATATTTTTGTAGCCGTGCGTATGGGACGGAGGCTAGCTTTTTCTTGCGCCGAGATGGGCAGCGTATGTCCGACCAACCGACACAACTTCGGTGCAGAAGATGGGAAGCGAGACAGGCAGGCTGACATGATAATTGTAGACTAGAATTCATTTTCCGCTTTATCTAGTGGTTTCTGAAAACTTTGAAAGTTATCGAACATTTTCTAAAGCAGTGCTTGTTTTGATTTAACAAATTATTCAAACTAATCGTCTAAGAAGTTTAAAAAACTGTGGACTAAATTACTAAATTTGATTGAGAGGATGGTCAGTTTGCTTTTTTGCAATACACGGCGTGGTCAACAAAGCCGATCACTGAAAGTATCATTAGTAAATATATCGGCATGTTATAAATGGTATTAGTTGGAAGAAAAATACTACGGTTTAATTGTATAGCTACAAAAGTTAAAAGAGCGTGGTCTAATAAAGAGCATCCTCCTAGGGTAGGTTAAAAAGGCTACGACTTACTCGCTGGACTGCGGAAAAGTCATGCCGGTGAAGGAAGGAGAGAGAGTTTCAGTGTACATCTCGCAGCCTGTGCCTTGGAGATAATCGTTCTGCCAAGCCTGAGTGTCGGGAGACTGCAAAACCAGAGCGATACGTACAGGCACGCTAGCACAGAAATTCAAGTGACGCACCCAGCCAAGCTGGGCAACAATCATGTGGCCGCCGACAAGCTTAACGAAAAGCCTTTTCAAGCATACACCAGTAAATTGAGAAGAATTGCTGATGACATTTTCCTCTGAGATATTCATGTAACACGTTGAAGTTTTCCAGGTTTTTATATGACCTTTTATTGATGGCGTTTAGCAAGGGACGATCTCTTTCTTATTAGACAGCAACCTTTCTACCATTTAAAGGGGCCTTTGTCTTCTAGAAGCATTTTTGGCACATTTGTTAATAAAATTAGTTTCTTAACCACTGCCCGGACTGGTCAGGGATGTTGGGGTGTGCTAGCGGGGGCTCTGCAACCCGGGTTCCTGTTGTGGCCCTGTCTGGGGCTCTAGGGGAAAAGTCCAGGAATTTACCGTAATGCAACCAACCCGTAATGCTTCCAAAAGCAAAGCGGAAGAACGAAAGACGTTCTTTGGATGGTCGCAACGCAACGATGCCATAAAGGTCTACTAACATAGCATAATCCCTAAAAACCGCTTTCAAGTCGGAAAATGACGAAAAAATTCTCGCCTTATTAAGGACTTCAGATTGACACACGGGTTTTACTGAATTTTGAAAAGAAATACAAATTATAATAAGTTGTTTTGTCAATTTATTTTATCTATTTGAAGATCTGTATCTGTAGTCCTTCATAGACTCAAACAAACAAGCTATTGACCAGTTTTTAACACCACTTTCTCAGGAGAAATCCTTTAAAAGATATCCTTTAAAAATAGAAGTACACACTTGGGACCTCTTCAAAGTTAAGTTTATGGCATTCTGACATCTGTCAATGTGTTACGCCATTCCTCGTGTTGAGAAATATACCATCAGGTTTCATCCCTAAACCTACAGTGGCTCAGAAACTAATTTTATTGACAAATGTACCGAAAATGATTTTCGGTAGATAAAATAATCCCCCTCAGAGGAATGCGGCCGATAAAAACACAATTTGTCAGGCGAGCGACCATATCGCTATCGTTGAAGTGAAGCGTAATATACAGTACACTGGTATAAACAGACAGCGGAACTCCAGTCTCTTGATTTGTTGCCTGAAGCTCGAGAAAGATAGAAAGATGGGAAGATGGAAGGGAATGAAGGATGATGTATGGTGTATGAAAAGTGTGTAGCGAAATTTATTGAAAGACTATGACAAATAAACCGTGGCGTTGTTTTTTTCTGTTTGTTTTTTGCTGTCTCTTTTTAAAAATAATTAACTCCGAAGCTTAAAGGATTGCTTTCCTATTCTCAAAGCAGCCTTTTCGTGTTGTCTTTCTTATGGGTGATAACAAACATGGGTGCGGGGTGCAATACACTGATTCTGTGAGAATTATTTCTGTCGATCAATTTCATTTGTCGTGTATTTTAAAATTTTGCGATTGTTTTTGCTACTGCGGTTGTGAACTAACGATATATCATTGCTCGGCTGAGAAAACTGTGTTATTTTACACATTAAAAATTCAATTTGATTTCCTAAGATCTTTTGGTGTGTTTTTTAAAATAATTGACAGAAATATTTTTCACAGACGACAAGGCTGAAAAGCAGGACCAAGGAGCATATATAACGAAGGTAGCACAGACAAGGCAAATACCAAGAGGCAACGAACAGTCACCGGTCGTCGGCAAGCCCGAGCAAACTCCTATAACACAGAGGCCAGTGAAGTGGCCTGCACAAGTGTGCCACTACGCGCTGCTCAGACTTTTGCCCGACGAAAGCCCTCCAAAGCGGCACCCCATGGGCCACCCCACTGGCCAGCCCGCACTTACTCGGACGCCTGTGCGAAGGGCATGCCCTGAAATGAGGAGCTCAGGGTTTCTGTGTACATCTCCAGAGCCGTTCCCCTCAGATAGTCATTTTGCCAGCCTTGCATGTTGGATGTGGCGACGAGGTGGGCCTTGCGTAGCAACACAAACAGTATGAGCAGTGGGACTCGAGGTATGTTAAGTTAGCATGGGTCACCCTGTAAACTTGAAAGAGCTGGTTCTGGCACAAATGATAGGTTTTAGTCATGAGGACTGCTTAAAGATGAAACCTGGACTAAGTAGAACCTTTTAAAAGCGATTATATGGAGTTGTCGGTGATATTTAGTTGCATGAATTGAATGTGTACCCGTCTGTTCCAACGGTGGGACAGCCCCACTGTTTAAACAATGGGATAAGATGTCCCAATGTGGCAAGAGAGGGTCCCGGCTGCTCTATGGTTGCAACAGTGGGAATTCGTGCCAACAATTGGACGGTGTCACCGTGGCAACCATAGAACAGCCTGTACGGTATAGATCTACGCATTAAAAGTTAATTAAAAAAATGAGACTTACCGTTTTAAATGATCGCATAGCAAATAAATTGGCCATCATAGTAGAGAATCCTGGGGCTAAACAGCTTTGTGCAATGAACCCTAACTTCAGCTCAGCCAGACAAATGACGTCATCGCCCCTCTTCCAGTCCCAGGATGGAATGTTCAACAAGTATGCCTTAAATTTTAAAGAGCACGTAAATTAAGAATCCATTTGTGACATTGCCACTAAATCAAATACATGGCTAAAATTTACCTTGTTGTGATACTGCATTAGTTGAATGATGACTCGAATGTCGTCAGAGTAGTTTTTGATAGAAATAACTCTCATAATATTGGCAGCGTCTTCTGCATCAGGGTCCTGGCAGTATTTGTTCGCCAAAACCAAGCATGCGTCTGCCTCGTGAACCTATGATAAAGAAAGAGGCCTGTATCTACGTTCTTTTTAAAACCTAGCATCGCCCTTAGCTTAATTCTTTCAAAAGATAGACATTTATTTTGTCAGA